GTTAAACTGGGTGGCTCCTTGGAGACAAGGATTCTGAGGCTCTGTTTAACATACTTTGGACGTGTTGTAAGGAGAGACCGGGCCTTGGAGAAGGACATCATGCTTGGGAGGGTGGAGGGACAGCGCAGGAGGGGGAGGCCCTCTATGATATGAGGTGGATTGATTCAGTGACTGGGGTAATCAGGATGGGAATGTCAGAGGCAGTGTGATTGGCACAGGTCAGAGCAGAGTTTAGGGCTGTTGTACATAGGGTCGCTATTGAGTCACAAGCGACTCGACGGCACATAACAACAACATTGCTCTGAAAATGGGCTTTTTAGTGGTTTACGGATAGGTGTTATTACTTAAGATATTAATAGAGAAATGGAGACATTACTATATCACAGATTATTTTCATATATGTAGCTCATTTTAATAGCTTTCACTTATAATTCCTTATTTTTTATTTTTATTCTTAAAATATTATTCTGGAAGGGGTGGTCCATGGACTTCGCTTTATAACTAAAGTTGTTCATGGCACACACACACAAAAAGGTTAAAACCTCCTTGGAGAATCTTCATCAAAATGAAAAAAAAAATATTTCCAAGAGTGGTTATTCCTTTTGTTAAAGTGTCAGATAGTAAATATTGTGGCTGTAATGTATTCAATCTTTGTTGCAACTTTACATTCCACTATTATAACTTTTATGCTTTTATTGACCATACAGTAAACAAGTAGGTTTCACTAAAACTTTATTAAATCAAAATATTGACCTACAGACTTTAATTTGCCAACTCTTTATCTTGACCACAATTATGGAAAATGTCATAATTTTGAAAATTAGTATGGCAAGAAAAACACAAAGAACAGTATTACCTCCTTCAGAGCTTGAGAAGCTAGTTTTTAGAATATCAAGAGCAGGTTTTGCTATTTAGAAAGCATTATTGTTTTCTCCTTTGATTTGCCAGAAGGATTCTAATTGCTTGTTTGTATACATATCATTACTCTGGACCATGTAAACAGCTATTTTGGTAGGTGGAAGGGCAGAGGAACACAGTGGCACAGTGTGTATCATATTGGACTGCTGACTGAAAGGTTAGCAGCTGAATCTACCAACTATTCCATGGAGAAAGATAGATCATCTCCTCCCATAAAGATTTCCCAAAATTTAGTCTCAGAAACCCAATAGAGGACCAGCATGCGTCCAAACCAACTCACCATCAGTGTGTTTGGTTTTGGTTTTGCTTGGTAAATTAACAAAACACTGTAACAGTTTTAAAAGTCAGATTTTAATATTTATATGGAATTGCATGTGAAATAAAAATATATAGTCCTGTATACCTGATGGCTTTTTGGTCTTCAGTACTAATGCCTCAAATGGTTTTTTTAACCTAATTATTACAATTTTATTAACTTTTAAATGTATATCCCTCCTTCTTGCATTTGACAAATGTTGTTGTTGTTATGTGCCATCAAGTTGCTTGCGACTCATAGCGACCCTATGTACAACAGCCCTAAACTCCGCTCTGTCCTGTGCCAATCGCACTGTCTCTGACACTCCCATCCCAATGATCCCAGTCACTGAATCAATCCACCTCAGAAGGCCTTCCTCTCCTGCGCTGTCCCCCCACCCTCCCAAGCATGATGTCCCTCTCCAAGGAAATTTGCAAAGATGTCAAGACTTTCCTTGACTTATAATAATAAATTTGAAATGATATGGTTACTTTTTAAGTATAAAGGAATCAAGATTATGAGCCTTTTAAGTGCATTTGAGATAAAGGTTATCTTGGAGTCTGTTGGTGGTGAAGGTGGTTAAGCGCTGCATTACCAAGTGAAATGAGAGCGCTTCCAGTACATCAAGAAATCTCTTTTAAGTAGGACCTTATTATGATCTCCTGAACATTCACAGCCTTGAACACCCTGTGCTACTAGTTGTCTTCTCTCTGTATGAGATCATCATGAATTGGAATTGACAACAGCAGCTAAAAACAACAACTTCTATGTTGTCTAAAAACATGAAGTTGAGGATTATAAACTGTGGATCAAATTCTGCCAATCTTTGTGTGTCTTGGTACAGATTTGCTAGTTGTTATCAAACTGGTTTCAACTCATCTTGACCATCTATACATGTCAAAGGAGAGCTTTACTCCATAGAATTTTCAGTGGCTGATTTCTCAGAGGCCAGTGATAGAATTTAAAGCTCTAATCTTTAGGTGAGCAGCCAAGCTCTGTACAATGTGCTAGTACTACTAGGGCCCATGGCATAATTATATAGATATATAATATATATTTATATAATGGATACATGTATCTATGACATGAGTTCTTTCACATCGTGTGTATGCTCTTGTTTGGCATATATATCTCACTTTTCTCTGATGTTAAAAAATAACCTAAATACAGAAATTTAAAAAGAGTTTATTTTAAATTAAAATAGAAAATATTAAATTAAAATATTTTATTTTAGTGATTATTCTGTATGTATGAGTGAAATGGCTCAATATAGAGTAATTACAATTAAGATTTTAAAGAGAAGAGAGAGTAGAATAGAAAATTAATAGTTGGCTCATTTTATCATGATTGATTGAACCCTCTCCAGCACCACCCCAAACCCCACCAATCACGCACTTCACTCAGTTACCATGTTTACCCCATGCTAGAGGCACTTGGCTTATAACTCCCTGATGATGTCTTAAAGCAACTAAGTGATGGAAGGAAATGAAAAAACCACTGTCTAAATTACTACATATTACTACATACTACAATAATAAACATGGGTACCAGAAAATAAAATTATATTTATCTTTAAAATTATGTGTTTTAGAAAGAGTTACAAGTGCAAGAACAAAAACTTCCAGAATTTTTTAGAAGAGTGGCTGAAATACAGTTTCTGCTTCAAACCAATGAAATACCTCTTGAATTGCAGGTAGGAGAACTCCTTAAAAAACGCAATTAAACAGTTATATATATCTTGTTCCTATTTGCTAATTAAAATAGCTGTATTGTCTGTACATTGATTCTTCCCAGATTGAACCTCCCTGCTCTTTCTCCTGTAGTTCCTTCCCTTTGCCTATTCCATTTCTGTTCTCCCTCGGTTACACTACAGTTAGCTTCCTATTTTCATGGTAGAAATCCTATGCAGTATTTTTCCTTTTGTGACTGAGTTATTTCATGCAACATAATCCTCTCTAGGCTCTCCCATATTCTATTATACTTTATGAATCATTTGGTTTTTGATGCTGCGTAATACTCCATTTGGTAAATACCCTATTTTCTTCTATTTATTTGTTTGTTGATGATCATCTTCTTGCTGTTGTGACTAACATGGCTATTAACCTAAGTGTACAGGTGTCAGTGCCTCAGCTCTGATGGGTGTGGATGAAGGATGAGAAAATTACTCTGAGAGCAGGGATTAGTATGGGGATGGGGAGATGAAGGAATAGGTAAGGTGTAATGGCAACTTGAGGAGACAGGGAGGTAAAAGTAATAAATCAATAGTAAGTCATTACATAAACCGTAATGTACAAAAATGTATCAGACAAAATGTACATGAAAGAAACAGTGTATATGCATTATAATATAAAAATGAATGATGGTATAAAGAAATAATTAAAAACTCAATTGCAATTTCTTTATCTCCTTTAAGTAATATTCATTAATGATAAATTCTAAACCTGAAGCCTGAAACAAAATTAAAACCTGAATTCCTTTTCTTTCATTAGCAGAATAAGTCCAACTAAATTTAGAATAATTTAATCTAAATTTAGAATAATTTCTTATATTTGTTCCATTTTAAAAGTAATTAATGTCATAGATTTGTATTGTTTTTGTTTTTCTGTTTTACTATATTTTCAGATGAACAGCTCAATGAGGTATTAGATGACCAGCTAGATGAACATACTAATTGAATGTATTAGCGTATTAAACAAACTAGATAAAGCTTGTTTTAGGAAGAAGTATTTAGATTAATCTCCTGGAAAAGCCTTAGAATGTTATTTTCAGGGGTTTTTTTCATTACCCTTTTTCCTTAAAAAAAGAATATTTGAATTGTATTAGTGAGGTAGAACAAGAATTATAAAGAACAAAAATTTCTTTCTAAATGAAATTATGTCTCCACATTTACCCTCTTGAACTCTAGTCTTAAAATCTAGTTAAGTTTGTTGAAGTGTTTCATCTGTTTCATTATTTCAGATCATGGAATCTTCGATTTTGAACAAAATGGAAAGTGTAAAAATGGGTTTAACAGGTGAATCCAAGCGCTGTGGACTCAGTGGTAACACAGATGAGTTAAGAGAGGACCTCGACCAGGCCAAAACTCAGATTGGAATGACTGAATCGCTTTTAAATGCACTATCTCCCTCTGACAGCTTGGAAATCTTTTCTAAACTAGAGGTACCAGTTGCTTCTCTCTTGTTATTCAAATTTATTTTCATATATATTTCTCCTTGTCTTCAAGAAGCCAAAATAAATCTAAGGAGAAGAAAAATCAACAAAACAGTCTCTGTGTGTTTAGCATTTTCACTTTTGAATTGCTGTGGACAGCTATTTGATATTAAATTGCATTGCCTTTTAAATTAATCAACAGAGAAAAAACATCTACTGGATAGAAAATTGTCTGGGTCTCCTTTCAAAAACAATTGAGATATAATATACTTTTAGTCAATGCACCCATATTCTGACTTATGGATATTGTTTGCCTACTTAGTTTCTCTCTTTTTTTTTTTTTTAAAGGAGATACAGCAACAGATTCTACAGCAAAAGCACAGCATGATATTACTTGAGAATCAAATAGGCTGTTTGACTCCTGAACTCTCTGAATTAAAGAAGCAGTATGAAAGTGTCAGTGATTTATTTAATACAAAGAAAAGTGCTTTGCAAGATCATTTTTCTAATTTATTGAGCGGTGAGCACATTGATTCTTCTTCTGGGTTTCTGGCAATTTTAAAGTGTGATTAGTTCTGTGACTATAGAAGTGAATCTAAATCTATCTTAGAGTTAGTTTCAGAGAGTGTATTTAAGGAAATAATGTTGGGACAAATATTTTTGGAAGAGGGGGGACAACTCACTGATCATGACTGACATTGTAAAAAGAGCAAGGACCACAAGGAGACAGATATAGCTGACCTTTACCAATTTTACAAAGAGAGACTGTCCTCATCAACAACATCAACAACACAAAACCAATTTCCAGGAGGTCAGACATGTCCCCCACACAGCTACACCTCTTGTTACTCATCCCAGCACCAATCTTAACTGCTTTACTGGCTCCAAAATCTGATGTGATAGCTCACAGACCACACAGAACCATATTGGAAATGTTAAAAGGCTATAATCGAGGTTAGTATCAGAATACAGTTAGGGCAGCTTCTGAAATGTGCTTGTGTGCACTTCAGCCTTCAGCTTTGTTGCTTTAAGCCAGTGTTACATAGTTCTCAGTATTGGCTCTTGCTCTTCCCCCAAAGTTGTCCAACTATTTTGAGCAAAGGCTCTTAGCTTAGCTCTGGTTCAGTCCATGGGATGTAGCAGTCCCAAGGTCAGCTCCATCTCATTTTGTGTCTCTAGTCCTTTACTTCAACCATTGCTGCTGGTTCCATAGGTCTAGCTGGCACAGGTATTTCTCGACCCAAGGATATCCTACGTTCCCTTGCTTCTTTTTTGGTGGCCGGAAAGATCTTCTTTCTGCTACTGATGATGATGATGTGTACCTTAGAGTCAGAACCAACCCATAGCTGACCTTCCTGCTGGTTTTCAGAGGCAGTTAATCCCATGGAAAGTGATTGCCCATCCTTCTCCTGTGGAGCAGCTGGTGGCCTCAACCCGTGTGCCTTTGGGATTGCAGCACAGCTTCTTCTTACATCAGGTCACTAGAGGTCCCTTTCTGCTTCTAGCTCTGTCAATTTAATGTAGATTAGCCAGTCCCCTTGGTGATTGGTGATTGGATTGGTGAGGCTGGCCAGTCCTCTTGTGGATGGCCTAACATGCATTATTCACATAGTCCCACCCATCAGATGGCAAAATCAGATTCAGTGACTAGGAAAGCCATTTTGAACACTAAGCTCTTTAAAACACAGACATAAATAACATCTTTTTCTTTCAATCCCAAATCTTAACTTCATGAAGGAAAATTACCAAAGTTTTGATGTTTGAGTCACTTGCCAGTGAGTCTGGGTATGTGCCAATGAGTGTTCTGCCTTTCTAAATGTCTTGGGTTCCCTCTAGCTTTGAAAATAATCTTGTAGAAAATGTACCAAAATTATTTGCTAGGTACTCTAGCCTAGTGATAAGAAGTTGCACTGCAATCTCAAAGACACTCTGTTTGAATCCACCAACTGTAATCTCCTCTCTGCGATTAAACTGTCTCTGCAAACCCCAACTATGGGTCAGGTCTGACTTGATGGCACACAACTTCGGCCTTAAGGGTACACTTGCCTCCTAGTGGTAAGGAGCTGTGTTGCCTATACAAAGGCATACAGTACAAATCCACCAGCTGCGCCACAGAAGAATGATGCATAGTCAACTTTTATAGGATTTACTGCCTCTGAAAACCCACTAGAGGGTCATTTGTGAGCCGATTCTGACTGACTGGCACATTACAACAACAACTTACTTCTTAAAATCGGGTTTTGGAGTCACCTTGGACATTGACTTGTTCTCGGGAAGTAGAAAGCAAGTTTGAAAACAAAAGAGTATCATTGAGTGAAGATAACTCTCCGGCTCCCCCTTGTGTTAATATGTTTTCCTGCAGATCAGTGCAAGAACTTCAATGACTGGTTCAGCAATATTAAAATGAACCTTAAGGAGTGTTTTGATTCATCAGAAACAAGAAAGAGTGTGGAACAAAAGCTACAAAAACTTTCTGTAAGATTTTCATGTATATCTTAATAAAAATATTTTTTAAATAGTGGAAGTATAGAGGTGCATTAAATAAAAGAATATTAATTTGTTTATCTTAGCTAATTTACTTGCAGAAGAGATAATATTTGCAAATAACCAAGAGTTATCCCCAGGAACTCTTAATTTTCTCCATTTTTACATCTATTCTAAGTACTGTTTAATTATATATTTACTGGTAAATATTTGCTAAGTTATTGACCCATTAAGATTTTCATTAGCTTGGACTGTCTTGAAAGAAATCTCTTGACTTTGAAATTTTGTTTTGTTTTAAAAATCCATTTGAATCATGAACTGCTGGTTTGGGAAAGTGCCTGAAATAAACAGCAAAAATAAATAAGTAAATAAAGTGCACAGTTTCCTTTAAAATAGTTATTATTTTGCTGTATACTGTTGAGTAAATGCTTATCTTTTTAAATTTAGTCATATTTATTTTTCCTTTTCTTTAACTTTCCATGAACTTCTGCAGCTAATACTCAAATGTCTATGTACAGATACTGAGATAAAAATACTGTTCTGTGGAAAATTTAATGGACTGGCTCTGCTTAGTTTTTATTTTTATTTCTAAAAAGGAGTTAGTATTTAGGAGACACTGAGTACAACTGTGATTTCCTGGCTTTATGACTTGCCACCTTCATTGCGGACCTGCATTATTTTGTTTGATAGAATTCTCAGAAATGCAAATATCACGCAGAGTCTAGAACAGATATAAATTAGTTTTTGACCTTTTGCCATTAGATTTAACTCCATCTCCTTAATCCTCTTTTATTGAATGCTAGGAGAAAGGCATGTCTGTGTTTTAGTTTGGAAAATAGTCATGCAGGTGGCAGAGACCACAATTGCCGGTAAAATAGGATGGACTTTTTTGTCTTTTTTCAGGATTTCTTGACTCTTGAAGGAAGAGACAGTGAAATACAGCAGGTAGAAACGATATTGAATCAGGTGAAGAAGCATCTTCCCAAAGCAGATGTTAAGGAGCTGAACAGTTGGATTTCTAGTCAGGCATTGGAATTGGAAAATATGGAGTCCATATGCCAGGCACGAACAAAGGAGCTCGATGACGTCTTACAGCAGCTGCAGAGGTGGGACGTAGGGATGATATGCACAAAAGCCCCATGTTATTGTACAATTCTTAACATATTTTCTGCTTCAGTATACAAACACATTAGCAAGCAAGTATAAGTACATAGACATATAAATTATATATATGTAATATATGTAGTATATGTAAAATATATAAAACATAAATACACAGACCTAAAGTGCTTTGGAGAGTTCTTCAAGTTTTCTAATATGCACACATTCTGTTTTCTTTTCATTAGGATATATTTTGTGACTTACTGCTATAATAGTATATCATACATATATAACTTTAATAGACACTATTATTTACCTTTTGATAGACTTCAAGTTAAGTTTTCTCTAAAGAATATCTATTGTTTAGTAAAATTCTGCTAGACTGACTAGGTTCATGCCAAGATTATTAAAAAATTCCATGGTCCCACACATGTTTCTTAACTCTGTGCTTGTTTTATATTCTAACACATGTTATATCCTCTCAGGCTCCACGCTGAGCACAGAGACCTGAGTAATTGGCTGACCAATCAAGAAGAGAGGTGGAAACAAATGGAAGAGTCACAAGAGGAAGCTGAGCTATTTTGCCAAGCATTAGATGGAAAGAGGTACAGCTCGTTTCATAGAAATTGGGTTTCCTGACATTTACGAATTTATTTTACGATATAGTGGCTCCTATAAACTGTCAATGGTATTTAAAATTTGCAGGGAACAGTTTGCATCTCTGGCCCACTTGAACAACTCTTTGAAGGAATGTGGACTTCGTGAAGAAGAAGAAGAAATAATGGCTGATTCAGCACATTTGATCGATAGATATCAAACTTTCTTGAGACACTTATGTCAAAGTGAGGAAGACACGAAGTTACCTCCTGCTGCAGACCAGAGCTTTAATGATCTTGCTGATGATGTAATTCGTTGGATAACAGAGAGTAAAGAATCCCTTATGGTTTTGAATTCATCTGAAGGCCAAATGCCCCTTGAAGAACGAATCCAAAAAATAAAGGTAACTAAATTTCAGAGGTCAGAGTGAACTCTAATTTGGGGAAGATTTAGAAGAAAGCTGCTGAGATTGATTTCTTAATGGAAAATAAGATCACTGTGGAAAGGTTGAAGAAATTCAGATCACTTTTCTTATAAAAGAGAAGGAATGTGATGAGTTTACATTCTTTTCATGCTATGAAAAAGAGTGTTATCTATTTCCCTTTGAGAGGGCCATGCCCAGCTGTGTACCTTCAGAAATGCAGAAAAATTAATAGAACTAAAGACCATAAATTTAAACTATAACCAGTGGAACTTTGCGTGGATATTTTTATGCCATATTTGTATACCGATAACATGCTATAAATCAGTGCAAACTGAAATCTCTTGCATCTTAGCTTCGTAAGTCTGCTACACTGGTATTTTCATTTTCTTGTTACTGACTTTAGTTTTTTTTGTTTTTTTGTTACTGTCCAGTGATTTAATGGTAAACCCTTGCCTCGGTGCCTGCTGGCATGAAAGTTTGGTTTCTATCAGCATGCCCTCCCCAGCATACCCTGGAGTTTCTAAAGCAGCCCCTCATTGGCATGATTCCTTTCTTGACTTGCTCATGGCTTTCTCTAGTGCAGGGGAAAAAAATCCATTCTTTCCACCTAGAAACAACCCCCACCAAAATGGCTGGCCCTGGCCTAGGAGGTGCTTGAGTCTGTATACTCTAGGCTCGAGAAGCCTCTCAGATGATGGAGACAGTGCCATAGCAATGCACATTCTGCCTACCGTCAACCTGATGCACTCAAGCCTTTGCATTTCCTGCTCACACGGTCCCTGCACAGTCAGCATGAGAACCACAGGCACAGAGGTGGGGAGTGTGCTCCATTGTCAGATGAGATGGGTTGCACTGGTCACCCAGGGACCCTGTAGGGTTGGGTAAGTACACTGCCACCGTCCCGCCACCTAGCTTCTCACTGAGTTGGCATGGAGGGACCGAGGCACACATAAGCAGTAGCTCCTGTCTTTCACCTCAAGACCAGCCGTGCTCAGGCTGTGACAGACCTGTGCACAGCCTCTCACCTAACCTACCACCTCTCTCTGGTCCTGAGTGTAGATCAACTACAGGGAACAACTCCACTGCTCTCATGCTTGGCTATAAACTGGCCCAGAGCAAGCACAGTTTCAGTAGTTTATTTCCCACTTACCAGAGTACTGCCGAACTTGATCTAGGACTTCTTAACCATGGTTTATTCCTTATAAAAATATGCTCAAAAGAAGCATTTTCAGACTGTTCATGGAAAGTGAGGCCAAAATTACTTCTGGCAATGTCATGAATCATGCCCAGTACATGCATGAGTGGCCGACTCCAGAGCCTTTTCTAAATGTAACTGACATATGTGTGTGCACATGTTACATGTGTCCTAGTGTTGCTTGCTCGAGTGGCTGTTTGCATAAAGAATATGCTAGTATAACAAGGGCATCAGCTTTGCCACAGGCAGGGATGGATGGCAAGAACATCTCTTCCAGAGTGGGTATGTTTGGGCCATAAAGCTCTTTAGATGCTGAGTGGGATTCCCAAGTATGGTTGGCTGTTGTAAGCAGGGAAGACATAAGTTCCTCTGAGTTCTGATTCTGTCTTTGGGAAAATTAAGTAGAGATTGCCAGTTAAAAATGTACATGAATAAAGCACATGTTCTTAAGAGGAAATCCAAGAGAATCCAAAGCACATGAAGCACTTAGAAGATGACAAAGTAAAGAATAGGCAGAATTATAGGGTGAGACCAGACTGCTCCTGGGAGGCAAAGATTCTGAAGCTTTGGACTCGCTGCAAGGAGGGACCAGTCCTTGAAGAGGGACATCATGCTTGGGAGGGTGAAGGGACAGCGCAGAGAGGAAGACCCTCAATGAGATGGATTGATTCAGTCACTAGGGTAATGAGTGTAGGTATGTCAGAGACAATAAGATTGGCACAGGATAGAGCAGGTTTTAGTACTGTTGTGCATAGGGTTGCTATGAGTTGCAGGTGACTCAATGTCACATAAACATGGGAGTAATTAAACTTACTGAATAATATAAAAAATATTGAGGTTTTTGTCTAAAATGTTTTCCAGAGAAGTTAAAACGTGAGGAGTATTTACAGGAAGAGTTGAACTTGATTATTGGAGCAGAGGAGGGTAAGAACAGAACAGAGAAGGGAATGAATTGTGTTAGGGGAGAGAGATGAGAGTTGGCGTGAGAGACACTTCAGCTTCCTGTAGGTCTTGACTAGAAAAAGCCTTGTATTGCTAATCTAACTCTCCCTCTGTAAGTAACAGTATGAATGAAGGTTTGTGATATTGGTGTTGGAATTTATTACTCTTTAGTGAGTTGAGATAATTGATGATCCCAGGAAAAGCAGGAATAGAATCAGATTAAACAGGAAAATGTTGGAGAAACAACTTTGTGTAAACAAAGAAGGGAGAGGCGTCTATTTTTCAGACATAGGTAAAAGTGAAAAGTTAGTTTTGAAACACGTTCTACAGTTAGAATTTCAATAATCGTATTTGTAAATAAAGACACTGTCATCATCCGTAAATTATACAAGATAATGAGATTTTAAAACCTTTATTTCAGGAAATCATTTTGCTGAAGCCTGAAGGGGACGCTAAAATACAGACCATTATGAAGCAGGCTGAGAACAGCAAGGCTCCCCTGGTTCAGGAGACTCTTACGGATATCAGGAATCAGTGGGACAACACGCTCCATCTAGCCAACACGTATCTAAGGTAAAGGACATGCCTTCACCAGCTCCATCATTTTCCATTGTGCAGCGAAGCCATAACAAGTATGTTTTGTCTGCCTGTTGCATTTGGATAAAGTATCTTTTGGAATGAAAGTCCACAGTGTCAGGGACCTCCACAATGTCAGAGATAGAAATGAACAGAAGCATTTCTCCCGATGTGATAAGAAAGGACCCTGTCACAACTCTGGCAATGTTTCATTTCGTTTATGTGTCACCCAGGGGTTCTTAGTAACAAACTACAAACATTTTGTTATTCTGCCTTCAATTCTAAAATTCTCTTCCCCCAAACAACCTCAGTACATCTGCGTGGTAACTCTATATAGAAAAATTAAAGCCTTTCAGTATATATTCTAATATAATCCAAGTATAGATTCTTAAATATCTGAATATGGTTATATTTTGACTAACTCAGTTTATTTTATTCTGGTCAACATTCCTAACTCCTGTCACGTGCCTTAAAATGATACATTTGTTATCTGGTAGAAATCTCACATTTACATTTTTCTGAAAATGTATCAAAAGCTACACTTAAGCTACAGAAAACATAGTTGGTTAGCACACCGAGGAATGTTCGTGTATTGTAATTATGTGAACAAGTACAATGCAGGAAAAAAATAATACATTAGGCGGAAGCTGTTGGAACTAGTCTGAAATAGACACTATTCATATTTATCCTTAAGTCAGATTTTATGTAACAAAAATATTTCATTTTTTATTATGTTACAGATTTATAATTGCTCTCTTAATTTTTTAAACTTGTGGTATTGTTGGGTGCCATCAAGTTAAGCGTCTTTATGTTGTATTGTTTTGTTAACGCATATCTGACCCTCCTGCAGGTTTTCAGAAGCTAAACCACATGGGAGGAGATTGTCCACCTTTCTCTTGTGGAGCAGGCTGGTGGATTTGAACTGCCTCCTTACCTGCCTTTGGGTTAACAGTGCAATTCCTTAACACGAGGCCACAAGAGCTTCCTAAAACTTAGAGCTGCTTATTATCTGGCTGAAAGCATTTCTGAGAATAATATACATTTGTGTTTCTTTGTTTTATTGTAGAGGCATAAAGAAAATAGTAATCCTATTGTAATAATATCCATAACAATGTTTTTAGGACTGCTCTTTTCCAGATCTGTTGTTCACAGGATTGCTGTGAATCATACTGGACTCACTGTACCTAGCAACAACATTGTATATGATGCATAATGCCAGTCCATTGTGTTAAATGCGATTTCACCTATATACAGTATTGTGTTAACATTTTAGCCATCAGGAAAAACTGAAGCTGGAAGGAGAGAAGTATTTGCAGAGCAAGGAGGACCTGAGGTTAATGCTTACAGAACTAATGAAGAAACAGGAAGTGGGCTTTGCTCTGCAACATGGTCTGCAGGAGAAGCAAGCTCAGTTAAAAATTTATAAAAAATTCCTCCAGAAAGCACAAGATTTGACATCCTTGTTGAAAGAATTAAAATCTCAGGGAAAGTACCTCTTGGAGTGCACAAAAAATCCCAGCTTTAGTGAAGATCCGTGGCTGGAAATAAAGCACCTACATGAAAGTCTTCTCCAACAACTGCAGGTGAAGTGGACAAAATAAAACTGGAAGTGGCTATCATAATTATATGGGAATTAATAGGGAAAACCCTTTGTGTAGGATATTTTTTTTCTTCATGTTTTAGGCCAAAAGCTTTTTAAATGTAACTGACAACTATTAATTTTATATGTGAACTCTTAAGAATGGAGCAGTTAATCCAGTCAGTCCTGCTAAGAGGACCAAACAGTATGTTGTTTGATGATGATGTTATTTCTTCTCATCAGAGTTTTCTTTTTCAGCCTCTTTAGGAATGATTAATATTTTTTACAAGGTATTTTATGAGGATGACCGTGTCTCCCCATCTATTACAATAGTTTATATTACTTATTCTGTATATTCCTTCTATTTAAGACCTTTCTTTGGGGTTCTTTCCCTATGATCTACATTAAAAAGTTGAGGTAAAATGTCCATTTTTCAGGAGAGGGTTTATTTTCTTAAAAAAAATAATGGATAGCACACAAAAGGCCAAACTCAGTATAAAGATCACCTGTGTAAGAAACCTGCTTGATTATTGGTTGGTTTAATATTGTCTTAGTTATATACTTTTTGTTATGTACCATTTAGTTGGCCTGCAACTCATAGTGACCCTATGTACAACAGCCCTAAACCCTGCTCTATCCTGTACCAGTCTTACTGTCTCTGACACATCTAACCCTAGTCACTGAATCAGTCCATCTCATCGAGGGTCTTTGTCTCTTACACTGTCCCTCCACCCTCCCAAGCATGATGTCCCTCTCTAAGGATTCATCCCTCCTTGTAACATGTCCAAAGTATGTCAGATGAAGCTTCAGAATCTATGCCTCCAAGGACTGCTAAACCTAAAAAACCCAAAACCAGTGTTCCTGAGTTGATTCCAACACACAGCAACCTTCTATCAGACTTCTGCCGCTGTAGATCTTACTGGGAGAACATAGCTTATCTCTCTTCCAAAGCTGATGGAGGATTTGAACTGCCAGCCTTTTGATGAGCAGTATAACATACTACATCACCAGTGCACTACATCACTAGTGCTCCCTAACCTAGTACTTACCTAGTAATAACAAAAATAAACGCCAGGTGGATGACCTTTAAAAAACAGTAATTCGTTTGCTGTTGAGTTGGAACCAGTTCATAGCTGACCCTCCAGTGGGTTTTCAGAGGTGGTAAGCAGACACAGGAGATTGTCCATCCTTCTCCCACAGAGCAGCTACTGGATTTGAATTGTGCACCTTTCTGATTATAGCTCAGCTTTTTTCTTCACACAAAAAGTTTATTCTAAAGTTTGTAGTTTGAGTCTTGGGAAAGTGATCCAGGGTTAGGTTGCTCCTACAGTTTCTTGTTGCAGTGGGTACTTGAATAATTATGAATGTTTGTGATTTTATTATGTAATCAGTAGCGAATTAGTTTTGAGAACCTCTTGACAGATGAAATTGTTTTTAGAAATAAAATGAAGGTGGAGAAGGACAGTCCAACAAATGTGATTTCAGTAAGCTTTCCTTTTATACTGAGTTATCTAAAACTTTAAATTTTAAGAATTCTGGACAATTTATGACCATCTTCCTATTTTGATATGAAATTTCAATGAACAAGTGTGAAAAATACAATTATTTTCTGAGCAGAAAAGTTCAGAGAGAAATAATTTTTAAATTATCTGTGGTTTGATTTTTAGGATTCTGTCCAAAAATTGGAAAGTCATGTTCAAGAACACCACTCATACCAGGCTTGTGTTACGGACCTGAATACCATGTTGGACAATTTTTCCAAGGAAATGTGTGAGTTTTCTGAGAAGCCTGTGAGTCAAGAAGCAGTTGAGGAAAAGTTACAGAAGATGCAGGTACTAATTTTTAGATATAATCTTTTTTTAAAAAAATAAGTATTACTTATAGCTAGGGAAAATCCAGTTTGTAGCTTTCTGAGTGCCATGTCTGCACTCCTGCCTCTTTACCTACTGGTATAACTTGTGTTTATCTATAATTCTTTTCCCTCCTGCCCTTTTATGACTTGACTTTTTCCTCTTTACCTTTCAAAATCCGGTGCTGGTGTCCTGTCCTTCAGAAACCAGTCAGGCCTTCCCTATGTCTGCCCTGTTTAGCCGTTGCATGTAGACTAAAATCTGTGCCTATTTCTTATCATAAGTTATTTCCATTATAATTGCTTGTGTTGCAGTCTCCCTAGAACTTAGGAATGAGTAAACAGTATTTCACACATCTCGAAATTCAAGATCTAATTGACCAAATAAATGAATGCATGAATGAACTTACTGTGTAGTCCAGTTAGGATATGAATTGCCATTGAAATAGCTCTGATTCAAAGTAATTTCATGCATGCAGAGTAAAACTGTTCTCCTTTGGGCTGCCAATGGCTGGTGTATTCTGGGGGTTTTTAAGTAGATTTGCCAGGTCTTTCTGCAGAACCTCCTCAGGGTGAACTCAGTCTTCTCTTTCAAGTTAATAACTTAGCTCATTACTCATTTTTACCTCTAGGACACTGCAGTTATGACAGTGACTGATTAAACACATGGGGTTAATATAGTGACCTCAAAGATTAAACTATTTAGACAGTAACATGAGATGCTTCTATAATACTTCAAATTCATTTAGCGTTAAGAATTCTCAAATTAGCTTTATCTGTTCATGCATTTAGTAAGCACTGATTAATTTCCTACTGTATTTAAGATGATGTGCTAAATAGATTAATTTCTCGTCACCCATAATGCTTTACTCAGTGTGTGTGTAGGCTGGCAAATCCTATGTCTGTAGGTCAGATTTCTTCTAAATGACTCTTGTCAGTGCTTTGCACATGATAGGCACACATGATTTTTGGCTTCCTCCAATGGTCCAGTAACTATATTAAGGAAAATTTTTCACCTTTCTTGTAAACTTCTACGCTTTAATGAAAATAATTTTGAGAATATTATCTGGAATACTCCACTGGTTTAAACTTCACCCATAGTTTCATCTTTGTGATATGAGTTAGCTTTGGACCCTTTTTGAAAAATGTTTTTTCTCTAATAAAAATGAACATTCTATGATTTATAAACTTAAGTTAATTCTTGTGCCAATTGAATAGTGATACTTTTCATAATAATTTTCTTCACTCACAGGAGCTAGAGAATAGACTCCATTTACAAGACAGTACTTTTGAGGAGATTTTCACTTTAGCTGAATCCATCAAGTCCAATACATCTTCAGCAGGACAGAAGATTATTAAGGATGATTTAGCATCACTTAAGTATAAACAAAAAGAGTTGGAAAACAGACTTGAATCTGCCAAGCAGGAGATGGAGGATTGTCTCAATAGCATTCTCAAGTCAAAATGCTCAACAGAAAAGAAAGAAAGGTTTATTGTGCTGGGCAGAGAGAAGGCGGTCACTTCAGATATGCCGGCGTCCACTCAGGACCCGGCTGCCATGGCAAAGTTGGAGGAGGACTGGGAATTAAACAAGGTAGGTACTGCGAACGCACTCTCTAAGACACTGAGTCTGAGAGTGAAGAGGCATTGGCCGTAAAAGAGGGCTGTGAATTAGCTTTTTGATTTTATAATTAAACCCTCAATGTGCTGTGTATTTATGAAACCCACTTCTAAGAAGAACTCTTAGAAAAGAGTCCAGAATTTTAGTGGTGAATTACTGTTAAAATATCAGTTATCAATTTAAGCTTATTATTCTCTCTGATATGTAATCAGATGCAGTTTCTGGGGTTAAAAGCACAAAGGCAAATTAGAAAAGGGAAAGAAAAGAAAATACATTTTACATGTTTTTTTTGTGAAAAATATCCAAGAGCCTAATTCCCCCCCCCCCCCCCCCCCCCGGCTTCTATAATGAAATCAGAGACTATTTGAAAGGATAGACTTTTATCTTTTTCTTCTTATGTTGACTCTGTACTGCAAATACCGTTTTAAGTGGTGTTAGAATTTTTAGTGTGAGGATATCAGCATTCAGACTCCTAGTTTTTCCCAGGGAAAAAGAAAGAAGAATTTTTGCTTTTCATTCTAACCAAACAGCTGCATTTCCTGTGGCTTGTGGAGTGCTTTCTTATAGGTGAGAGTTTAAAATAGAAAAGACACAAAGAGCTACATTTGAAAGTACCTCCCTGGAAAGCAAGCAACCTGTCAATTCAGGTTCCAGATGGACAGTAGCGAGGTATAAACCATTCAGGGTGAGACCTAATTAGCCTTTTATTAATATGTAATCTATAGGAATCAAGAACACATGAACTTGTACTATTTTACAGGGATGTAGAAGTGTGGAAGATGAAAAGGATTAAAGTTAGCTCGCAATAGGTGGCCTAGTGGTAAGAAGCTGGACTGCAATCCCAGATCATGCAGTTCAAATCCACAAGCTGCTCCACAGAAAAGAGATGGGCAGTCTTTTCCTGTGCAGTTTTTTGCTTCTGCAAACCCGCTGGAGGGTCATGGGTTGGTTTCAACTTGAAGGCACACAACCACAACAGCAATAGGTAAAACAGGCATAGATGCCAATGAAGCATCTTTCTGACCCTAAGAGTCTTCTTATAAATCCCACAATGTTAGTTCTGCCTAAGGAACTATTGTCCTAAAGGATTAAAGGTCCAAGGGGTGATACTTCTAAGATTGTGTACGTTAAATAAATATTATTTAAAGGTAAATGGATAAGGGAAAAGACCTAGTCCTGTTCTATGACATTTCTGAAGAAAGTTGCATGATCACTTTTAAATTGCCTTCAAATCTATTTTGACTGCCAACCCCAAACTGCATAGCTTGATTGAAGTATACATATAATAGAATATACATTTTTAAAAACCAGAAACCTGTTACAATGAACTGAATCCAAACTGTCAGTGACCCTTTGTGACAGAGCGAATTACTTCATAGGGTTTCAAGTCGGTAACCTTTACAGAGGCGAATGACCACATCATTTTTCCCCCCTGTGGAAAGAGTGGTGAATTTGAACCACTGACCTTCTGGCTAGCACCACTTGTTGGAGTGTTGTTGTTATGTGCCGTCGAGTCGTTTTCGACTCATAGTGACCCTATGTACAACAGCCCTAAACCATGCTCTATCCTGTGCCAATCGCATTGCCTCTGACACACCCATCCCGATTACCCCAGTCACTCAATCAATCCACCTCATAGAGGGTCTTCCCCTCCTGCACTGTCCCTCTACCCAGCATGATGTCCCTCTCTAAAAGACCTGTCTCTCTTTACAACATGTGCAGTGTATGTCAGATGAAGCCCCAGAATCCTTGCCTCCAAGGAACAGCCTGGTTTAACCCTCTCTAGGATGAATCTGTTTGGGTCAAGGCACTGGGCTAAGGGCAGGGACTACACTGTAACTAATGGTCAACTCCAAAATTAGGGATTTATCTTTACTCCACAGATTGCTGTCTGTCAGATACTCCTCTAAGTCTAAACATTCAGATTAAGACAGACTAGGAAGAAGGATTGGCCCTCCACTTCTGAAATGGCAGGCCTCTGAAAACCCTATGTATGAACTTGTTGGAGTAGAGCTAGAAAATGGAAGCGGAGGAAGTGAGGTCGGGAAATGGTACTCCCTAAACCAAACCAAGTTCAGTATCCACAGTGACTCTGTAGACTAGAAAACTGTCCAGAAGATTTCCAAGGGTATAAATTCATGATAACGGGAGCTCTGGTGGGGTAGTCAGTAGGGAGTTGTGCTGAGAAACCACACAAAGTAGAGGCTTCTCCAGCAGTTTGACTCTTCACTACCAAAATGAGCAGTTTCCTCCTATGCAGTTCACATGGGATGCAACTGAGAATCAGCTGTGAGTCGGTTCCCACTCAGCAGTGTTGAGCTGACGTCTTTACAGAGAAAGACCACTCGAGCTTCCTCCCTGGGTCAGCTCCTGGGTTTCAGTTGCCAGCTTTCTGATTAAGAGTCATACACTTAATCATGGCACACACCATCGAGACTCTTTGGTCCAATAATAAACATATTTCTTTTTGATTACTAAAAATTACTTAATCTTGAGTGAGTTATTAATGATTTATTAGACGTCATTAAAATTGGGCTAGAGGGTTTCCCCCTAAGATGATGGAAGGATTCAAGTCTTAAATGACTGATCGCAAATCCAGGTTACAGAATGCTAGTACTCTAACAACATTATGCTTTTTTGTCTCTCTTGTACCATGAAAATTTTTCTGAATCTATGCTTCTTATTTTGTCTACAATAAGTATATTAGCTGCTCTGGTGGCACAGAGCCTTACATATTAAGCTATTAACAAAAAAAAAGCTGTTAATTAAACAGTGCAGATATGAGGTAATCTGCTGTTAAGATTTCCCGTCTTGTAAATCTTACAGAAGATTGCCATGAGTCAGAATAAACGTCACAAGAGTGGGCTTATTTATTTGGTTGTTGCTTTCATTTGGAGTGTGTGTATTTGTGTGTGTGTCTTGCACTATAAGGTTTAGAGTAATTTTAAAGTTTGCAACTAGTGAAATATAAAATATATGCATAAACCATACCCAAACCCATTGCTTTGAGTTGATTCCTGCTCATGGAACCCTCATATGGTGCAGAGTAAAACTACTTCTTTCTGCTTTCTTGCTTATAAACAGGTCATCAGACCTTTCTTCTGCAGTGCTACTCCATCCCACTGTCAACCTGTAGAAGAATTGTTGTTGTTGTTATGTGCCATTGAGTCGCTTGTAACTCATCGAGTCTATGCGCAGCACCTCTGAACTCTGTCTTATCCTGAGCCATTCTCACTGTCTCTGACACACCTACCCCCATTACCCCAGTCATGTGTAAGCCATCTCGTCTGGAGTCTTCCTCTCCTGTACTCTCTCTCCACCTTTCCAAGCATGGTGTCCTTCCTTCTCACCGAGACCTGCATACTCCAAAACCCCCAGCTGTTGAGTACATTGTGACTTACAGCAGTCCTCCATTGAGTGTCTGAGGCTGTAAATCCGTATAGGAGGAGACTGCTCATTCTTTTGTGAAGCTGGTGGATTTGAACCACCGATTGTGGAGCAGCTTGACACCTGGTGCAGTATGCCATGGGCTCCTTGGGACAGTTTCTAGGTGCCACCAAGTTCACTACGACTCATTGCAACTCTGAACAACGATCTGAACCTGGCCCTATCCTGTGCCATCTTCATGGTCTCAGTGCACTGCAGCCCATTGTTACAGTCACTGGGTCAGTCCATCTGGTTGAGGGTCTCCCTCTCTCTCTCTGACTCTCCACCTTTCCTTGCATGATAGCTTTGCCAAGGACCTCCTAACAAACTGCCCAAAGTATGTGAAACAAGGTTTCACCATTTTTGTTTCTAAGGACAACCTTGGCTACACTCCCTCCAAAACAGACATATGGGGGGGGTGCAATTTATGTGGTATTCAGTACTCCTTACCAACACCACAGTTCAAAATCATAGATTTTTTGGGAGGACCTTTCATAATCACTGTCCACCTTTCTGATGCATATGAAATAATTGAAGATGTCTTTAAACTGCTGTCTTAGTCTTTAAACCAACATCTTTGCTCTTCAGCACTTTGGAGCGATCCTTGACAGTAAATTTTTTTCAGTACACCAAAGCTTTTGATTTCTTCACTGTTGTTATTCTGGTTGTTGATTGTAAGTCCATGTAAAATGAAATTGTTAACAAGTTCAGTCTTTTCTCCATCTATCATGAGTTCAGTAGTGAAGATTTTTTGTCTTCTTTATGTTGAGGTGAAATCCATATTTAAGGCTCTAGTCTTTGATCATTTAGAGTAAGAGCTTCAAATAGTCTCTTTTTTAAAAATATTCTTTATTTTTCAAGCAAGGTTATCATCTATATAACACAGGTTGTTGTTGAGTCCTTCCATTCCCGATGCCACACTTTTCTTCATTTACTTTATCTTCTTGAATAGACAGTAATACTACAAGAAATGTGAAAAATACATCATACTAAACTATAAGGTAGTTAAAGTTATACCAATGAAAATAAGGTCTTTTAACAAACATTTGAGCCTTATTTATTCTGTTAGAATGTATGGACACAATTGTCAACATAAAGTTTACCATGAGTTAAATATCTCATTAATGCTTTACATACCTTCTTGGAGTCTGTAAATTCTTTAAAATAGTCTTCAGAAGATTTTTTTAGGAAGTTTTTAATTTTTACTTTTTAAAAAAAATAAATTTATATCATTTCTTCAATTCACTAGGAGTATTACTGGTGTTTTTTTTTTTTAATTGCCATTGTGGCACTTATCTGTTGCATCCATTGTCAAGGGTTTAATTTTAGATGTCATTTAAATAATATCTTACATCTAGACCTTTGACTGGCTTTACTGACTTTTATCAGAAAGAGTAAGATGGAGTAAAGGCAAAGGCGGGCATAATACAGTATGAATACTTCTGGTGTAAAATCAAACTGAGTACTTTTGCAAGTATTGGGCAGTTATGGTGATTTAAATGATGGTCCACAAAGCAATTTAATTTTGCATTGAACCAATCATACACATTTTGTTTGACAACTTTAATTTCAATATCTACAGTGTAATCACTTTCCCCACTTCCTCCTGTAACTCTGGTTTTCATTATTCTTCCCCTGCCCTCTATGTCTTTCCTTTTTTTCAGTAATATTGGCTAACCATACTCTTATTGTATAATTACCTTTATGTTTTTAATTATAAGAAGGCAGAACTACTTTCCATGTTCCCTAAACTACGTAGGTTAAATGAAGTAACAAATTGATCAGTAATAAAAAGCTATGATTGCCAAAACTTAAGAGTTTTGGTGTCCATAAATAGAAATGATGAGAGGGAAAATAACACCTTCCTTAATTCATTTTATTTCCTGAAAAAATTATGAAGCAACATTACAGCTTAACTCATATGGGTGATCTTTCTTGTCTAATCTTTCCCCTGTGTCAACCACTTTGACATAATTGCTTTTAAAAAACCTTTTGTCTATAATTGCTTCTTTCATTTGCTTGTCACTGGGCATAATTGTTAGTATGTCTGAATCATCTTTAGTTCTTTTCAGAAATTTCTGAGCATTTGTAATGTTTATGTTAGAAAGCTTCGGTAGATAAATCTTGGGAGATGATCAGACATCTGAGTAAAATTTGCAAGACTTTGCAGCAGTGGATGAGTGTTCTGGGGTCAGACCTGGGACAAGGAGGAAGGAGTAATTCTTGCAGAAAGAGCTTTACATCTTGGGCTGAATTATGATTCTTTCTCATATTCTTTGCCTTGGTTGTTGTTATGTGCCATCAAGTAGCCTATGACTCATAGTGGCCCTTTGTATATTAGCTCTGAAACCTGCCCTGTCCTGGGCCAATCTAATAATTTCTGACAGACCTAATCATTGCTCCAATCACTGAGTCAATCCATGTCAACCAGGGTCTTCCTCTCCTGCACTGTCCCTCCACCCTTCCGGGCACGCTGTTCCCCTTCAAGGACTGGTCCCTCCAGTCCATGTGCCCAAAGTATGTGAGATGGAGTCTCTCTTGCCTTCGTAGTTTAGTATGAAAGGATTGTTGTTGTTTCAAGAAGTACAGACAACTTTGAGCAAGATAAAGTTAAATATGTATTTAGCTAAGTATAGATTAGTCAAGTAGGAAAACACCAAAAGATAAGGAAGAATAAAACAAAAAACAACAGTAAAAAAGACTCATGGAACAGTTAAAATGAGATCAACTATTTTAGTACTGAGACCCAAAAGACAGTGTGAAGGCCATTTTCACAGAACTAGGGAAAATTATTATCAACCTAGATTTTCATATTCAACTAAGCTAGCATCCAAGAATGAAGCAAAATACTTATATTTACAGATAAAGGCTGAATTTACCATTGAAATAAGTGAAGCTGTATATAAAAATAAACTCCAGAAAAACTAGATAAGAAGAGGAAATTTAATATTAAAATAGTGGGCTTATGCAATATTTCTCCCTTTGTGATTGAGATACTTCACTTAGCCATAATGTCTTCCAGACTCATCCATATTGGGTAGTGTTTTACAAGTGCATTTTTTTCAGTGCTGCATAGTATTTCACTTTATTAATGTACCATAGTTTCTCCATTAAATTTTTGATAGGCACCTGGACTATTTCCGTCTCTTGACTATTGTAAATAATGCTCCAGTAAACATATCTGTTTATGTTGAAGTTCTGATTTCTTTGGGGTATATTATCCCAGTAGTGAGACAGAGTAAATGGTATTTTTGTTCCGTTTTTGAGGAAATGCCAGACTACCCTCCATAGTGGTACTATTCCCACGAACAGTGTATGAGATGTCCAATCTCTACTTCCTCACCAGCATTTATTATTTGCTGTCCTGTCAAACTTACTGTTTTTGCTGGGGTGAGATGGTATCTCGACATTGTTTTATTGGTAGTATTTTTTTTTCAATCTTTCTTTCCACCCCATCCCCCTTGTTCTGTACTGTCGAATTGGATCCATCCGGCACAGTAGGAGACTGCCCCTCCTTCTCCAGGGAAGTGTCTGGTGGATCCAAACCAGGAGCCTTCAGGATTGCAGAACAGCTTCTAGCCGCTAGGCCACCAGAGCTCACTTAATTTTCATTATTTTTAAGATGATAATTGCTGCTTTGTTTGGAGATATAATTTATTGAACCATGAACAATTTACTGACATAAAAATATATGACAGAATTAGATTGCTTTCATTTGAGTCTTTTAACAAAATAATGGGAATCTTTTAGAATTACTGGTGTAATGCCTGGTATGTGTACATGATCAATAAATATTTATTGAAAAGACTGAATAAGCCAATTCATATGCCCTGTCCTTATTTATACTGTAAAGGACTCCAAGTTTCTATAGCTCTCAGAAAAGATCTGCATCTATAACCCTAAGTTGTAATTTTTAATTCTAATTTAAGGTACATTTTAGTTTTTATTTTTTTCCTGTCTGCCCATTTATTGTTTCATATCAGTTCTTATTACTTGTTCTTACTACTTACATTATACTACATCTACATAACATTACTTACATCTACACCAATAAATAACATTGAGTTATTACTTGTTTTGCATTTTACTTTGTGGTAAATACTAAGTATAATCTGAAACTTTTACTTTTTTATCTATGTCTTTATTTAAGACTATAAATTATGCCTCTGTATAAAATCTTGTAAAGCTAGATCCTCTACTGTCTTGATTTTAAAAGGTTTGTTCTTTTAAGATGCCAATATAGACACTAAATACTGTATAGGAGAAAAATCTTCTTTGGTAGTAGATACTTTTTTAGGGAGCTCTAGTGTCGTAGTCCATAGGGAGCTGCACTGTTGACCCAAAGGCGATGCTTCTCTGATGGTTTGAATCCACCAGTGGCCCCGCAGGAGACAGATGGTCAATCTCCCCTTGTGTTTTTGTAGCGCTGGAAGCCCAGTGAAGGGTCATCTATGAGTGGGTTCTGAGTCAGTGGCAATGAGTGAGTGAGAGAAACCTACTTTCTAAAAGTCTTTCATGTGGTTAAATAGAAGAAAATGGAATATTTTCATCAAGACACATAATTATTTATTTGGAAGGTGGACTACTCAGCAATTAATCTTTTTATGTTTTCAGAATTCAGCTGTGGAAATGCTTTTGTCAAAACAGCTTTCTCTCCATAATCAAGAAAGCATGAAAAACATTGAAGATGAGCAGAAAGTTAATGAGCTGCAAAATCAACCTTTAGAATTGGATATTATGTTAAGAAATGAACAATTAAAAGACATCGAGGTATGGAAACAGGAAAAAACACTGACAACATGATTGCATCATTTACCCAGTATAATACAATATCGTTTAATTACCAAAATCTTGCTTGCACAGAGTGAAAAGTCTTATTTAACCTTTGCCTGATGATCAATTTGGTAACTACATAATTATGTACTAATCAGTAAGTTGTATAAATCTTTCCATTTAAGAAGTAGAAGAGTTTAATGAGCATTAGTCTACTTTCTTATTCACAAACTTCCTGAAAACTTCTTTATTCAATGATAAATTTTGGAGGTTATGACTTATCATTACTTTTCTTAGTTGTATGTGTTCTTTTAATTCTGATAAAGTCCTTTATTTTTTATAATTATTAACATGGTGAGATCTTCCCTCTTTGTTTTTACAGCTGTGTTTACACATAGCTGTGTCTATATTTATATACTTAATAGCTGGGTAAAATAGTCTGGAAATCCAATACATGGCCATGGGTTGGATTAAGATGGCCATGTTTTTTGAAACTAAAAGTGACTCCTAGAATACAGTAAACATTTATCTAAACTAGCAATGAGGGATAATTTGGCTAAATAATAAAAAATGCAAAATTTCAAAGTTAGACATTGTCAATTCTTAACATCATTATATTGCTGTTGTTATGTGCCGTGGAATCACTTGCGACTCATAGTGACCCTATGTACAAGAGCCTTGAAACCTGCTCTATCCTATGCCAACCTTACTGTCTCCGACACACCTACCCCCATTACCTTAAATCAGTCCATCTCATCGATGTTCTTTCTCTGTCCCTCCACCCTTCCAAGCATGTTGTCCCTCCCCAAGGACCAGTCCCTCCTTGCTTCATGCCCAAGGTATGTCAGACGAAGCCTCAGAATACTTGCCTTCAAGGAGCAGTCTGGTTTCACCCTCTCTCTAGGATGAACCTGATAACACAGAATGAGTTTATTACTATAAGATGCTGTACCGGTAATGATTTTTTAGCTGGATTTTAATATTTTTTCCAGTTGAAAGCCACTTAAATGTCAGGACCTTAGTTTTCCTAAAACCTCTTGAGGGTAGAATATTTTATCAGAAAGTAAAAGAATAGACAGGACATGATTGAGCTTATGAATAGATAAGTGAATGTATACTTACTGATTTGCTTGACTTATTTTTTAGAACTTATATACCCAGTTAGAAGCAAAGAAAGGAACAATTGAGCTATTGAACCAAACAGAACCTCTCAGCCAATCAGAAGCCAGTGCCTTGGTTCCATATGACGCCAGATACTCGGTGCAGTACTTGGATGGTTTGCTCCAGGCACTCCTTACCTTGAAGGAGAACAAAGAAAGCCAATATTGTCTCCTTAAGGATTTCCAGGAACACCTTGTTGCACTTGAATCATCAATGAAAGATTTGTTAATAGAAAAGGAAAGTCTGAAAGTGTAAGTATGAGAATTCTATAGTCTTTATATTTAAGTATAGAGTTTATATTGAGATGTCATGATACTAGGATGGTATGGTTATATATATGAAAGCCATTTTAAGGAAAAGATATGTGGAATATAGTATATGTGTGTGTGTGTGTGTGTGTGTGTGTGTGTATACACATATATGTCATTAAGCGCCATTGAGTCGAGCACAACTCAAAGCGACCCTGTGAACAAAAGATCTGAGCTCTCTTCTATCCTGTGCCATTCTCACTCTTCCTGACACACAAGAGCATATTGAGGCAGTTACTTTGTCAGTCCACCTGGTTGAGGGTCTTCCTCTCCTTCACCAACCCTCTACCTTTCCAAGCATCATGTACCTCTCCAAGGAATAGCCCCTCCTAGCAACATGCCCAAAGTATGTGACGCAAAGCCTCATCATTCTTGACTCCAAAGAGCATTCCAGCTGCACCATTTCCAAGATATATCTGTTTGCTCTCTTGGCCATCCATGGGATGTTCATTGCTCTTCTCCAACAACACAGCTCAAAGGCATCAATTCATTCCTGTCATCCTTATTGATTGTTTAGATCTCAGATGCATAGCAAGTGATTGAAAAGACTATGGCCTGAATCAGACACACCTTAGTCCTCAAACGGACATCATTACTCCTCAATAATTTGGAGAGGTCCCTAACTGCAGATTTTCCCATTGCAATGCATCTCTGTATTTCCTGACTGCTGGGACCACGGATGACAGTTGAAATACTTTAGAGTATTTTTATATACCTTGTTCCCATCAGTCTCCATTCCTTCCCTTTAGTTGTGTATTTTTAGTGCCGAGAAGCTACGCTGCAGTCCTGAAGGCATGCAGTTTGAATCTCGTGGCTGCTCTGTGGGAGAAGGATGGGCAGTATCATCCCATGCAATTATCTGCCTCTTAAAACCTGTGAGAGTGTCAGCTGTGGGTCTCAGCTCTGGATCGAGTCTGACTTGATGATACTCAAAACAACAAAAACCTTTTGCAAAATCAAAGTAAACAAGATTATAGATTTTATATTAAGGACAGAGTGCTCTTTAGATGTTTTAATCTTATGTATGAATACCACACAGAATCTTTTAATAACACCTAATTCAAGATATTAAAGAGTTGAACAGAAGATTTCAAAAAGCAGCACGGAACAACAAAGTAAAGTATTACTATGAAATGTGTAAGGAGTTGGAGTCAGAAAATCAAAAGGGCTGAACTCTCTCAGCATTTCTTAAGCTCAAGGAACTGAAGAACA